CATATTTTATAATTATTAATTAAAAATAAATTTTTTAATATTATGGTGATCATTATTTTATTAATTATTATAAATATACAATAAAAAAATATTTACAAAACTGCAAACTCTCATTTTAATACCCAAGGAAACATTGCTCGTATTATAGACTCTAAAACATGGCCAAGTTATCATCACACAAATAATTGTTAAGGTTATATGAAAAATTATAATTTAGTTTGTTTAAATTTATTAGTATAGAGTTAGTTAAGATACTTAAAAACATTAATTTATAAGGTAATTTCAAATAGTTAAATAATAAATATTAATTATTTTATTAATTATTAATTAACAGTTATAACTTTCAATTGCTCTTAATAGTCAAACCAAACACACCTATCATATTTTTTAGTAACCATAGCAATTATTTGTATGGACATAAAGATGAACCATAAACATGTATTCTTCTTTTTTTTTTTCATGGTTATGAACTGCCAAATTTAGAAGAGTGATAAGTAATTACCATTCCCAAATGCTTTTAATAATAATTAAATAATGTGATTTTACTAATATATAAAGAACTAGATATTACAATAAATTATAATCCTTAAATAGTAGCCAATTGGGCAACAAGAATTAAACCTATAACATCCATCTAATACCAAGGTGCTAAACACCCATAAACGAATCATTCAATGACAAATAACAAGAAGCTACTTAATACTAGTGATTATAGATTAAGCTTTATAAGGCCAATAATATGGTTACCAAGTATAAAAGACCACCAATTAAACATTACTAGCTATATGGAAGTTTTTATGCAAGATCTATGGGCTACTATATTACTAACAAGCAATAGCTCCTATTTACTACAAGTCAGATGATGAGAAAATCAACCTTCTCCAACTGCGGGATCTAAACCTCCTTCCACTCACCAAAGCAACTCTTGAATTATTATTTAAAAGTTTTGAAGCTAATCCCTTAGGTATTGTTGTCTCTTTCTCCTCAATGGTTAGGGTAGATTAAAGGTGAGAGTTTTCACCTCTTTTATAAGAGTTTCTCCCTCTCTTGTGAAGGCTTATAAGGGTTTCTACCTTGACTTTTTTTATAGCTTTTATCAAAATTCATTTTTGTTGGAGAAGGATGGCAACTTGAATGTGATATTGGTTGGACTTTAGATCAGTTATTACATTTGTTTTGATTGTTGAGGGCACGATTAGGGATGGAATCCCTAGCTAAATTTTTTTGTCCAACTAATATATCTTCTATTTGGATGGATTATGCTAAAATGTGAATTACTAAATCTTAAAATTGGATCTAACTACAATATTCATGTAAGCATTAGATTATTTGATTTTGCATTTTCATGCATTTTATGAGTGTAAAATCTCTAGCATATTGTCCCATTCGAATTGGTTTTGAAATTCTTATGGTTTTCATATATCAATGGAATTTTATTTCTCATTAAAAAAATGATTTTTGAAGCTAAAAGAACACTTAAAATTTTGGATTATTCTATAAAAAATGTTTGACGCCTCAAGCATCTAGTTAATTCAATTGAAAAATGATTGATTCACATTAGGTTCAATACATTTTTTTATACTCATCCTAATTCACCTATTAATATATAATATAAGTATAATCAGTTTAACCAATTCTTACATTTTGTTTAAATTACTATATCTTTAAGTTTGGCTACCTTTAATTTCATATCAAAGTTATCAATTTTTTTTTTCAGTTCTCTGCTTTTGCATATATATATATATATATTTTGAAATTGTGTTCACTTTTTAAGAATGAGATATACCTAATGTCAGCATTGAAAAAGACTATCGCAAATGGTCCTTATTTTCTTTAGCCCTACTCATTATTTGAAGTTTCATTGTAATAGCCTAAAAGCATTTGCATAAATATTATGGACAACAAAGACCTTGACTTGCAATTTCAACCAAGCAATATTTATCTTGGCCAAAATGAAAAACACAAATAACTCGTTATTTCTCGTTTAGTAACACTTCTGTTTTGTATTTTTTCTTTTATTGCCAAAAATTTAACGGTATTTTTAATAAAAACTCATTTTTCTTTAAATACCAATGACATGTATTCACAAGAAGTTTCCAAGCTTTTGGAAACGTTTTGCAAAAAAAAAAAAAAAAGAAGCAGGTTCTAAAATTGCATGTTTGTTTTCAGACCTTGATAATATTTATAAAGTGGATTAGGGGCAGAAAGGAAAAAGTTGTTTTTTATTATATAATTAATCATTTTAACATAAAAAAAATACTTATAAAGTAATTGATGAGCATAGAAATTGACATTAAGAACTCATTCTAAAAGAAATTCTTGTTTTTTACTCTAGTCTAATATAGGTGTCAATAAAGAGAAACGATTTTTTGAACTAAACACAGTTTTAATTTTGGTTATTTGTTTTGAAAACTTACTAAATAAGTCGGGTTTTGTTTTTAATTTTTTTTGTTGGTTTTTAAATTTTGGTTGCCATCGAATTGCTAAATTTTTAGCAAAAAAAAAAAATAAATGAAAGTGTTATTATACAAACACTTAAATTTTTTATTTTTTAATTTTACTTTTCAATATTTATAAAATTTATAAAAATTAAAATTTAAAACTAAAAGAAAACAATACCAAACAAATACTAAATTAAGCTTAAATTAATGCATGACAAGGACCTAGACCTACACTAATATTATGGGCCACAAGACTTTGACTTCAAATTGCTAATGAGAGATTTTTATAACCCAATAATAAGTTTGTTGTATTGGTCAAGTTTTGTGGGTTTTTCTTTAAAACATGTTAGAATATGTGCCCAACTTCTTGTTATAACTGAGTCTCGTTCAACCAACCATATCTAAGTGAGGTTTTAAAATAATAATAATAATAATAGCTTTGTTCAATTTATTAAGAACAATTGATAGTTATAATTATTAGTTAATAGTTAATAAAACACCTAATATTTATTACTTAATAGTTTGAAATGAGTCTATAAGTTAGTATTTCTAAACATCCTAACTGGACATTTAAGAAAAAAAATTATAAGTTAAAAAAATCAACTAAACCAAACACACCAAATAAGTTTTCTCATTTTCCCAATAATATCACAATATTTACACCATAAATAACACCAAACAAAGAATGTCATGTGTCCATGGGAAATGTATATGTGTCCAAAAAAGTATTGAGGATGAGCTTGTTGGTGAATCTAGTAATTCCAATCATCCAATACGAAAGTTTATCGCTTAAGAGAAGAGAGTTGTCAAAAAAATTCTTTTCTTAATTTTCATACAAAGTGACACGCCTAAATATTTCTACCAAAATAGATTGCAAAAATAAGGACTTTTAGGAAAACACTTTGTTATGGTCATATTAACAAACTACGTAGTCCAACCAAAATATATAGACTACATAATTAATAAATTTTATTTGTAAATATTGTTCGTATCATGGATGGCAAAGACCTTGATTTACAACTTAACGTGTACAACAAAGACAAAGACTTTGACTTGCAACTTGGATTTGGGTTTGTGACTTGCAACATAGAAATGGACAGAAAAACCAAGATCTTAAACATTTACTTTATCTTTTTTAGTATTCACAACCCACTCAAGATTCAAATAATATGAAAATTATAAATTGTGTAAAGATTGAAAATTTTGGAGGTGCATTTATTCAAATATCTATTTGTTGACAAAACTATTTAGAATTAAAGCACAATTAATCAAATCAAATATGACATCAATTAATCAAAAATATATGCAAACCTTTTCTTTTGGGCCGGGCCATATTCTAGTTTTGGGCCATTAAAAAACGAATGGAATAGAATAACTGGACTGGGCCACAAGGCCATGATACTTTGTTTTTTTAATTTGTAATAATTAATTAAATTAATTAATTAACTGGAGCACTCTTTCTTAGAAAAAAAAAAAATTTTTTTGCAAGCATTATTTTAGCTAAGTAATAGTTTTGTTTAAAAAAATAAGTTCATTAACCATCAAAATCCCCTTTTATTCTTTTTTAAGGCATAGACTTTATTCTGTTGTTATTGGACTATGTCTAAATTTTCTTCAAAATTATCTCCATTGAAATAAATTATTACTTAAAAAATATTGATACAATTTATAATTAAACTTTTTTTTATCAAATCACCTTAAATTTTTGTTTAGAAAAATAAAATAATTTAAATTTAACAGCCATAATTAACCTATCGTTATATTTTCTAAGAGTAATAGTTTACCTTAATTTGATAATAAATATATATAAAAAATTTTAATATTTAAATAATTTCATAAAATGTGCATGAAAAGATTCAATATACCCGCGACTAGCCGAGCGTTGTTCGAGCAGTTGTTATGCAGAGGTGTGTTTCCCCAATCTAGCGGACCTTTTATCTGCAAATTTTGATCGAGAAAAACAATAATGGGTCCCCAAGAGTGGCTTGGTGAAGACGAGAGCGCCAAGCAGATGCTCGATAGGGTTCAGACGGAGCGGCCCTTCTTGCTTCTTCCTCCTCTTCATCGGGTTCCTCTACGGGTCGGCAATGTCGTCGAAATTGTTGGCCATTCTCCTTCGGCCAACAATTTAGTGATGTTCCTAGATTTGGATTGTCGCTTTGACATTTGACGGTTTTCGTATCTTGGAAGCCAGAGGTAAACTTCTTGAGTTTTAATCTGTAAAGAATTGTTTGGTTAGCTGTGGTGGATACTCCTTAAAAACAAGCACTTCCATATGAAGCTAGGAATAGCAAAAGCAAAGCTTAATGTCTAACTTTCCAAGAATACCCATTTCTTAATCGTTCCCAAATTTATCTTATTTTTATAGTTTGATGAAAGAATAGTCATTACCTCCAACCAAACATGATGCAAGGGTGTAGTAATCCTTTATAGCTCGTTTGGTTTAATGAGAGTAGGATAAATTTTGCTATTTGAATAGCAAAAATTGAAGGGAAGGCAAGGGAGGGGAGGAGGAATACAATGGAAGGATATTGTCTTCCCTTCCCCTCCCCTCCTTTCCCGTCCCTCTGTTTCCCTCAAACCAAACATGGGGTTAGTGTTGTCGGAAATGCATACCCAAGATCTATTAGATGTTTCAAGTTATGAATTCTTCTAAAAGATTGGGAAGGACGTTTAATGTGAACTAAATTAAACAAAGTTACATGTATACAATGTAGACTATATTAAATGCCACACCCTTGTTAAGGACTTCTAAGCTAAAAGCTAAAAACTAAAAGCT